TGTTTACATTTAAAATACTACTAATAGTAATATTGCACCACAATAGAAAGCAACAACAATAAGTTAAAAAAGAACTTAAATGAAATTGAATTGAATAATTAGTTAATTGGAGGAGTTGCTGAAGAAATGTAAAACAAGGATGCAGAAAAGGGGAGGTAGGGGGAAGTCCGGGAAGTAAGGTGTATGAAAATAAGATTATGAAATTATACATGTTTATATGTTTGTATGTTTGCGTATTGTGTATTGTTTGTTTTTATTATGTGTTTGGAAAACTAATAAAAATTTATTAAAAAAATAAAAATAAAAAAAGAAAGCAACAACAGAATAACTTTCGAAAAGCTGGATATACACATATTTCTAGAAACCTAAAGTCAACAAGTTTCCTCAATGACTAAATTCCAAAAACAGATGTCTAGAAAAGACCCTATTCCACCTTGCCTAACTTAGATGGCACAGAGTCCCATCCTCTGAGGAGGATCCTATTATTACCCAGGGAGATGTGTATAGTCAGAGGTAGTCCCTGATGCTGCGAAGCCTTTTAGGACTCCAAAAGTTAAAAGCAGAATCTTGAAATGGGCCTTGAAACAGAAAGTACAGAAATTTCAGACTGGCAAGATGCATTTGGTCCCAGTTAGTAACCTTGCTGTCATTTTCTGTGCTAAATGTAGCTTCCAGACCATCTTCAAGTTTATTTCCACACGCAACACAGCGTGTTCTCCTTCATGGAGAGCACGTGTTGCGGTGGGGGCCGCCAGGACACTCCAAAGTTGTGGGGCGGGCTAATTGATTGTTGGCCACTGATGCGATTGGGGCTTCCCTTGTTGTTGGGAAGAAGTTAATGTTGCCATTTGTTGATTGACAGCCAGAAATGCTAAAACTCCTTGCACGAGGCTAGGGCTTCCTCTTTTCGCCCATGCATCGGATTGCCCATCCCCCCATCCCTATATTTAGGGTTGTTCGCTTTGACCTTGCTATGCCTGTCATGGGGTCGTCTGCTCTTGGGGCAGGGGCCCGGTAGGAATTTTGTCCATCTGGCTGATTGGCTGGGGCCATTTGGTTTTTGCCTACTGCGTAGCAAATCGTCACAACTTGTAAGGTTGCGGTTAGGCATTGGTTTATGGTTTGGTTGGTTGAGGGGCATGGATTGGCTGTGCCTGCCCCTCTAATGCTGCTGCTGCAAGGGATTCCGTTAAAGGAATTGGGGGCTAACTATTGCTTGTCCACTCTGTCAAGGGGGCTCGGGCCATAGCAATGAGCTCCTGGTTGCATTTGGGCTGAGGGCAGGTTCCCTGCTCCGTTGCTACCCCCCAAGTGTATTCCCCTTTTCTGACTTTCACATCGTGCGGAATGTCAGTCTGTCCCCCATGGTGGGGGCAGATAGTCGCAACCAATGCCTAAGCAACCACTCACATTTTTGTATTTCAATAAAGTTGTGGCCAAAATTATGCCAAAAACCTTAAACAAAAAATTCTGTGTGATGTGTGAGTTATTGGGGTGGACCTGGGGACCTTGACACACAAAGCACAAAATTCCAAACATGGTGCTACTAGAAAGATTATCTTTCTGTCTAGGACAGGGATGTCCAAGCGGTCGATCACAAACTACTGGTCAATCGTGGGGCGTCCGTGGTCAGTCACGAGATCCTGTTCCTCGCCCCCCCCCCCCGAAAAGCTTAACAACTTGGTCAATCCAATGGGTAGATCACTGCCAGTATTTTTATAGTGGGAGTAGATCGCTGTCTCTTGTAAGTTGGACATGCCAGGTCTAGGAGATACGACAGCTAACACAACAACATAAGTGACTGCAAGATGCTTCATGTCACCATGAGCTCCATAGGTTGGGCTGAATCTAATATTGTCCCTAGGACACGAACAGGATTCTTAAGGGGACAGAGCAGCCTCAAGCAAAATAATGATAAACATCATCTTCTAAATCACACAAATCACCTGCCAACAGAAGCTCAGGCTGATCAGGATTGAGTTCACTGGCCTTTATCCTGTTTATCCCAGGCATCAGTTCAACGCTCCAACAGTAACACACCTGAACATGATTAAAAGAAGCAAAGTTGGGTGTCACACTCCTGCTACCACAACCCAAACCCTCAAATGTCTTCACTTAAGTCTTTTCAGGTCTATGTTTAACATTATGAGGAGTTCTGTATACAGTGGTACCTTGGTTTGCATACATTTTGGATTACAAACACGGCAAACCCGGAAGTGCGTGTCCCAGTTTGCAACCTTTTTTTTTTTTGGATTACAACCCTTTTTTTCTTTTTTCTTTTGGATTACAATTTTTGGGGGAGGCCCCATTGGCGAAAGCGCGCCTTGGGTTACAACCTGTTTTGGTTTACAAACAGACCTCCGGAACGGATTATGGCTGTAAACCAAGGTGCCACTGTATATTGCAAAAGTATTGCTCCTTACAGAAATGATAGAATTATTATTGGCTCTCCCTATACAAGTATCTAAGATCATTCATATTTGAAAACTAGGTTCCATAACTTTCCATAAACTGGGGCTGGTAGTTTCTGAGCAAACTAAGTCCTATTCAGGCACACTACTGGTGTGTAAACCTTGCATGCAAGCAGGATGAGTGCGCTAAGCTCCACCTCCACATTGAAGGTGACCCGGAAACTACAATTAATCCAGAATGTGGCAGCGAGACTGGAGACTGGGAGCGGCCTCTGAGACCATATAGCACTGGTCCTGAAAGACCTTCATTGGCTCCCAGTACGTTTCTGAGCACAATTCAAAGTGTTGGTGCGGACCTTTAAAACCCTGAACGGCCTTGGCCCAATATACCTGAAGAAGTGTCTCCACCCCATCGTTCAGCCCGGACACTGAGGTCCAGCTCCAAGGGCCTTCTGGCGGTTCCCTCTCTGCGAGAATTGTGGTTACAAGGAACCAGGCAGAGGGCCTTCTTGGTGGTGGCGCCTGCCCTATGAAACGCCCTCCCAGCAGATGTCAAGGAAATAAACAACTATCTGACATTTAGAAGACATCTGAAGGCAGCCCTATTTGGGGAAGTTTTTTATGACTGATATTTTAATGTATTTTTAATCTTATTTTGTAAGCCGTACAGAGTGGCTGGGGAAACCCAGCCAGATGGGTAGGAAATAAATAAATAAAAGATGTCCCAGAGGCACCAAACTGGTCATTGTGGGGAACAGAATACCAAACTAAATGAACTTTTCATCTAATGCAAAAAGGCTCTTTTCATCCTCTTATTTTGCCCTTGCACCAGAGTTTGGGAATGTCCCAATATTTGCCTGACAAAAGCTCCCAAGATAATAACTAACTAGAGGTCACTATTGTTTCAACTCTACGTAAACTTATCTGAAAGCCTCTCCAGTCCAAATCCAATGCTCTGAGCCTGACACAACACCGCATGTAAACAAACAAGTTAAAGATTACACTTGTATGCTCTCATTACTGATTTTATGACCCATGTATTAAACACAATGAGATAAAGTTGACTTTGCAAGTTGTAAATCAATGTCTTTTAATGGTTGCATCAACTAATTGGTTTGCACTTTCATTTAGAAAACAAGTGAAGTGGAAATGGAAAACTTCTCCACTTGAAGCTTCCAGTTGCTGATTTCAGTTGCCTTGACTGTGCAGGAGATCTACAGAGTAATGCCAAACCATAGTTTAGGGCTTTGGGGGGTGACCTGTCCTCGCCTGCTTTTCCCTCTCACTTCTGGAGTTAACAGCAAACCATAATTTGTCAATACGTTCAAAGTGGACAAACCATATTGTTTTAGGCCAAATTATAGTTTATTGTTTTAGGCCAAATTATAGTTTATAGAGGCTCAGTGGTTTAGACCAGAGTGACTCCTGCGTCCCTATGCCACCTCTAGATGGTGGCGACGTCAGGCGTCATCCTGGCGCCCAGGCACCTTCACTTGGTCACAAGTGGTCGATAAGGTAAAGGTAAAGGTACCCCTGCCCGTACGGGCCAGGCTTGCCAGACTCTAGGGTTGTGCGCTCATCTCACTCTATAGGCCGGGAGCCAGCGCTGTCCGCAGACACTTCCGGGTCACGTGGCCAGCTTGACAAGCTGCATCTGGCGAGCCAGCGCAGCACACGGAATGCCGTTTACCTTCCCGCTGGTTAGCGGTCCCTATTTATCTACTTGCACCCGAAGGTGCTTTCAAACTGCTAGGTTGGCAGGCGCTGGGACCGAACGACGGGAGCGCACCCCGCCGCGGGGATTCGAACCACCGACCTTTCGATCGGCAAGTCCTAGGCGCTGAGGCTTTAACCCACAGCGCCACCCGCGTCCCTCAAGTGGTCGATAGTCCTTGTGTTAAGTCTGGTAAACAATCCTCGCTTGCTAGGGAGGAACAAACCATGATCCTGGTTCAGATATCACACTAAACTGGTTTGCTTAAGCAACTGTGGTGGAGCAAATCGGGTTTGTGTGCACTAGCACACAGCTGGTGCACAGTGTGGTTTATTAAACCTTGGCATATTGTTGCATGCGAAAGCTGCCAGTATTCCTCTGAATCTGAAATGTTGAGATGTACTGCTGTTTTTTTACAATGGCTTTAGTTGGTTGCTCTTGGGAACAGAATGCTCTACTAGATGGTTCACTGGCTGCAGGGCTGTGTTTTCCTTCTTTCACCAAATTGGTTTTCAGTACAAGTTCCAAGGGCACAGAGCATCCCATCTTGAGGCAAACTATTGGGAAGGTTGTCATCAAACCCTGACTTAACATTCTCATCATTATTGCCAATGTTACCTCATGATCTTTTAAAAAAGATTTTATTTATAAATTTCAGAAGTTTACAAATTAAATACACAATATATATTTCCAATTAATATTCATTTACCATTTGACTTCCCCTTCATCCCTCTGCAGTTTCCCCATATTTTCTAATATTGCTGCATATTATAATTAACCTGTACCCTATCCTTCCTGTTTGTTTTACTGCTGTTCTTCATTCAAACCCTACTTGCGTTTTTACATGTTTACAATAGCTCTTTAGATAGTCCAAGAAAGGTTTCCAATCCTCCTTAAAAACGGCCTCTTCTTGATATCCAATTTTCATGGTTAAATTTTCCAATTTGGCACATTCTGTCAATTTTAACTGCCAATCTTCTTTTGTTGGTACCACCTCATATCGCCATTTCTGCACATATAGTATTACTCTTGCTGACATCGTGGCATAGAAGAGTAAGTTCATCTGCCTTTTGGGAACATCCATCCCAGTTATCCCTAAAAGAAATGATTCTAAGAGTTACTTTAATTTTTTTCTTTACCTCATTTTCTTTACCATCTCCCAACAATCCTTAGCCACTCTACAAGTCCACCCCACATATGGTAAAATGTACCTTCAACTTCTTCACATTCCCAACAGATACTCAAATTTATACATTTTTCCCAATTTGCTTCATGTCAAATACCCTCTATGGGTCATTTCCATAAAATTTTCTTCCAGGGCATAACACGCTGCGAATTTCAAATTCGGTTTCCACAGTTTCCCCCACAACTCAATCTCGATAATATGTCCCACCATCCCTAGCCCAATGGATCATAGCAGAATATTACAACATGATCAATCTTACATCTTGATTTATTCTTTTAAAAGAGAAGGAAATCTTGATCAGCTGGCTTGATCACATACAGCATGAACAGGAGTGCATTAGAAAGCAAAACATGCAGAGGGCAGATGCTAGCAGAATTATTCATCTGGGGTTTTCCAAAGAGGCGCCAAAGGGTTTCCCTCATCCTCCACACTCTTTCACTGCATATTTGTGTGCAACCAGGATCCCAAACAATGTCTGTGAATAGGGAATCAGGGAATTAGTCAATGGACTAATTTGTGGTGGAGCACATCCTTTGTATGCAAAAGGTCCCAACTTCAACCCATTACATCTTCAGATAGACCTGAGAAAGACTTTTGTCTGCAAATGCCTGTCAGTGTGTAGACAATACTGAGTTTGATGGTCTGACTTGGTATAACACAACTTCCCAGAAGATTTGATTCCAATTTGATTCCAATTAAAAAGCTGTAAGCTCAATGAGTTCATAGCATGAGCTATGAACCGGGTGTTCCTATTTCAGCTGAGCCTTTAATCACTGGTCTCAGTCCCACATCAATGATTAAACCAAACCATGGTTAATAAACCATGGTGTAATTTGAGCAACAGTCCCTGACCCAGTAACTTAACCATAGTTTAGGGAAGGGTTTTTACTACAATTCCCATCATCCCTGATCACTCGTCCTGCTAGCTAGGGACGATAGGAGACGTAGTCCAAAAACAGCTGGAGACCCAAGCTTGGGACACCCTGGTTTGGGGTCACGTGTGAACCAAGCCACTGGGTGGCTAAAGACAAACTGCAATTTCTTAGCCTCAGACCTCCACCTGTAATTTAATAACATTGCCCTCTGCTGCAGTTATAAGGATTATTGAGATTGATAAATATGAAGTGCTTTGAACACTTAAGAAACTGCTCTATAAATGTATAACTTGCCATTCTGTATGCGCTGTCACACTGCTTAAAGAATGATATAAGACTTTTATTGCTGCTTATACGTCAGAATTTGTGCATGAGTCTGTTGGCATGGCTCATCAGGGTCCATTATTTAGCAGCTATGGCAGTGTGCTGGTCTCGCAAGCTGACTCTTTGCTATAGCCTACATATTCTCTTTCCAGAGAAATGGATTGGTCGGAAGCAAATTCTGGTACTGAGCCCCTTTTGCCTGACACAGATATTGTGTCCATACTGAAAGCTTCGTCACCTGAATGCAGTGCACCTGGGTTTAATGGTGATGTTGAAATGCTCCACAAAAGTGGTGCAATAGAGTGGTACCTTGGTTCTCAAACTTAATCCGTTCCAGAAGTCTGTTCCAAAACCAAAGTGTTCTAAAACCAAGGCGTACTTTCCCATAGAAAGTAATGCAAAATGGATTAATCTGTTCCAGACTTTTAAAAACAACCCCTAAAACAGCAATTGAACATGAATTTTACTATCTAACGAGACCATTGATCCATAAAATGAAAGCAATCATCAATGTACTGTACTATAAAATAAATAAGACAGTACTGTAGATGATGAAAATTAAAATTATTATTTTTCCTTATGTGCACTGATAGTCATTGTTTGGATGGGGGGCTTTTATCTATTTCTGCAGTCACACAATCAATCAATCAATCAATCAATCAGTAGCTGAACTGGGTTCCACACAGTCATAAAAGCAAGTCACAAAAACGAAGTCACAAGCCACAGTCACAAGTCAGTCCCATAAAATGAAGAACAAGTCACAGTCAAAAAACCGAAAAGGCCACAAAATCAAAAGGCTGCAAAGACAAAAGCTCCAAATATCATCTCAGTGTTGCATCGGTGCTTGGGACTCAACAACCGACAGTCAACAAAAATCCTCTGGAAACTCAATTTACAAACGGAACACACTCAACAGGAAGGCAAAGTTCCAGGGCAAAGTTCACAAACCGGAACACCTACCATACTTTTCCATCTATAAGACGCCCCCATGTATAAGATGCCCCCTATTTGGGGGGACTCAAATTTAAGAAAATGGGGGGAGATCGCACAGAGCTATTGAGCTTTTTTGCAGAAGATTGCCCAAAGCTGTTGAGCTTTGGGGGGAGTGGGGATTATCCGGGTTGTTGAGGTTTTTTTAGAGGGGATTGCCGAAAATCACTCACCCGCTAGCCTACAAAAAAACACCTCTCGTCTGTCCCATCACCGGCAAAAGCTGCCAATCGCCCACCCAACTGCCGCAGCATCAGCCAATCAACACCAGCCATTGACGCTGCAACCAATAACGCGCCCAATAGCCACTGACTAGGCGGAACCAAACAATCAAATGTCCGCCCTATGCCCTATCCATGTAAAAGACGACCCCCACTTTTTAGCATAATTTTTAATGAAAAAAACTTTGCACGGAAAAGTACGGTACTTCGGGGTTTGCAGCGTTCTATTTCCAACTTGTTCATAAACTAAGCTGTTCTAAAACCAAGGTACCACTGTCTATAGAAAGGACAGAGAACCTCAAATTTCTTATTTCAGTGAAACAGCTTCTACTGAAGGTTGCAGGTTCCATCACTGCAATCGACAAGGTACATATTCCTGCATTGCAGAGGTTGGGCCAGATAATCCTTAGGGGCATAGCTGTCAACTCTTCCCTTTTCTTGTGAGGAATTTCCCTTTAAAAAGGGGGAAACGTTGACAGCCATGCTTAGGGGTCTCTTCCAACTCTACAATTCTATGAAAGAGACTGGACCCTCCCAACAGCAGTTTCTAATGAGGAGATTACAAAGCAGCATAATAAAAATAAAAATCCATTGCTGTTTCTAGTGTTAAGGGGCTGTTTCAAGAATCTTTTGCTTTTACTGTTACTAAAGTGCTTGCTTATGTTAAACAAAATTAAAAAAATAAATAAGTGTAAACGTTTCAAGTGGAGTTTTAAGTCGGGAATTCTAAGCAATATTTATTATTTCAAATACAGATTCAAGAGTGGGAATTAATCTAGATTAATTTTAAACAAAGTATCAGAGTTTGAACCTATATAATATTTATGATTTCTGGGTCGTACCACCATAGCCCATAAAAGTTTCCAGGGTCTTATCTTCAAGAAATTCAAGTACCCTAACCCTTAACCCGCCGTAGAATTGATGCTTTTGAATTATGGTGCTGGAGGAGACTCTTGAGAGTCCCATGGACTGCAAGAAGATCAAACCTATCCATTCTTAAGGAAATCAACCCTGAGTGCTCACTGGAAGGACAGATCATGAAGCTGAGGCACCAATACTTTGGCCACCTCATGAGAAGAGAAGACTCCCTGGAAAAGACCCTGATGCTGGGAAAGATGGAGGGCAGAAGGAGAAGGGGACGACAGAGGACGAGATGGTTGGACAGTGTCTTCGAAGCTACAAACATGAGTCTGACCAAACTGCAGAGGCAGTGGAAGACAGGAGTGCCTGGCGTGCTCTGGTCCATGGGGTCACGAAGAGTCGGACACAACTAAACGACTAAACAACAACAACAACAACCCTTAACCCCTTCAGAATACAATGTAACTTCCACACATTTTTGTGTGTGTGTTTTGTTTTCAATGTGGCAACAACTTGGTTCTCACCCAGTTGAGGCTTTTAGACTAAATTATAACAATCCAGCTGGCTCATCACATTTTCCAATGCCTCATTATAATGCCTCATTCCCATTTGCTAAAAACCTATTGCTTCATCTCCAACACAGTATGTTCATTTCATTCTTCTTATTATTTTTTAAAGGATGCTCCTGTAAATATCAGGATGTAATTGTTGATATTTAAACAGTGTTCCTCTTTTTCTAACAAAAGGTTCACAAGTTTTTTTGCAGGCAGAGATATATGCTGGAAGATGGGTTTGGGGGCTGAAGTGATTGTTGAAAAAAGTAGCTTTCCAATTATCACAGACCTGCCAGGAAAAGCAGAAATGCATTATGTGTTAATGATCACAACCAGGGGTCCACGCTTAACTCTTTTGTCAGAACTACAGCAGATCCTCCCCGCAGCTTCGCCATTAACAGGTCTGTTTCCTGTCAGCCTACTCAAGAGATAATGCCATTTATCTCAAGGCAACACAAGACCAGTCATTAGCTTCAATAACAGACCTCAAACAAAGGCAGGAAGATGTTTTTTTTTTTTCCAAGGTGCACAGTCTGCAGCCAAGAATCCTATTGCCTAACAGTTCAGAAATTCAGCTTTTGTCTTTCAAATGATTTTCTGCACCTAATGCAACAATTCCAGTTAACTTTCTTAAAGAGTCTGTTTCCTGGAAATTTCAGTGAGAAGCTTTTATCATGTATACCATTAGGTAATTGGTAATAACCTATTAAAATTATCCTTTGGGAATGTTTTTCCCTCCTGCCCTCCCCCTGTTTCCCTTTTTTCCCTCTCTTTTGCCTCTGGGGGGGTAGGAATGGGCAGAATAATTCAAGCACTTGCTAAATAATGAGATCTTTGAAAAGCTGGCCCTTGTTGGGAGCTGATTCCCTGCTCTCAATTCTTCAGCGACAAACTAAAACTAAGCTTTTCTTAAAAGTATAGAGGTTTGAAATATATGTATGGGCACACATCGTCCCTGGCTTTCTTGTATTCTAGAAATCCACTGCCTTTCTACGAAGTTACAGGTGAATGTTTTAAATATATAAAAAAGTGGGGGGAGGGGAATGTTAGCAAATCTCACGTTTGTTCAACTCATGTTTTTTTAGATTGCAAACTGGGAACAGATGGTACATTGCGTGTTACTTGAAATCTGGTTATTGAACACCTCTGTGGTCACACAAGAGTTTTGCTTAGCACTTTTAAAACGCGTTTTCATTTATTGGGCTATAAACTGCTTCTTCGCTCAAAAAAGTATTTATATACTCCTAATTAAAGCACGCAAAGCAAGCTGAAGCTAAACACATCCTAAAATTCCTTTCATTTCTTTTACTGGGCATTCATGAAGTTGTTGGTTTTTTAAAATATATATATATATATATGGTAAGATTAAGTAATGTCCTGTGTAAAATTTACATGCCCCCCCCCAAGTGGTTCACAACAACCACATTCCTTTCTTTATGCATATCTCAGGGCCCATTGTTTCAGTGTTACTTTAACCTTGCAGAGGAATTCAATACAGAATGAATCTGGCCTGAGAGGTCACTGGGTTCATACAGAAAGCTTTCCTCAGCCAAAGGCCACCACCTCTTCACCTAGACCCAGAAAAACGTCGTCACACTACTAGACAGCGCTATAGAGCATTAAGAACCCGGAGCAGGGCTGATTATGAAGCGCCCAAGAGTTATCAATGTTTTCGACAGCTAAATCCCTTATGTAGCTTTCAAAACAGTTTGCTGTCCAGCAACAATGGACTTTGTTCCTTAATTACAACCAGTGACCTTTCTGCCCTTTGCTTCTCCCGGCAGTGAATAAATGGCCCCTAAACAGCAGCATTAGCCGGCATATTAAAACACACACATCTTCATAAACTCATAGGCTAGGGTTTGCACATCACGTTAAAGCTGCTGGTGTGCACAGAGTTTTGCTCCTGGCTGCGATGCGCTTGGAGGTACCAACCCAACCAAGACGCCCAAGAACATTGTGTTGCCCTAACCTGGGCTTTTGGGTTTGCCCCCCCAAAAAAAAAACAAATTTCAAGCAGTAAGAAGAGAGGAAACTTTGTCTACCACTTGTGATCGCCTGGAGCAGAAAACTTGTGGTTCATTGCTCTAGGAGTGAGAGAGGACAACTTTGGAGAACTGTACATTAGCTGGTTCAGATTATACTATGGTTTAACGTTGACTGTGGTTTAATATGACGTGCGAACCAGGCCATTGAGTCAAAACATATTCTTAAGAAAAACGTGTCAAGTGTCCCATGACGGTACAGAAAATGCGAAAAGCTGGCCACAATAATCAGCCGCTAGCAATTGCATATTAATAGGCTAAGGGTGTGTGTTTTTATACACACACTGTACCAGTTTTGGTAAACGTGCACAATGAACAATTATTGCACACACAGCATATAAATCAAATGGGAAGTTCTTGAAGACTACTTAAAATTTTCACAGGGTAACAGCAGCAGAAATTGATAAACCATAAAAGAAAGGGGCACTCATGCTGATTGGCAATTTCTGTAACTTCCTACAAATTTGGCAATGATGAAAAGGGTCAGATTTTAACATTCCAAGCCTGACATGAGTATTTGGCCTACCTGTCACAACTAGACACTCAAACCTTTCCCATTGTTCTACTTATTTACACATGTCGGTGGTGTGTTAACCACCAAATGGGCTGAACAAATATGTAACCTCAGACGTTTTTTAAATTCCAAGATACTCACATCTTCTACCTACACATCAAGGGAGTGGCATCTCTTAAGAGGAGAGAGGAAGACACTCATTGGATTCAGTTGGGCGTGATTTTGCGTGACTTTCTGCAGTACAGAAACAGAAGAAGCAAACCCCCCAAATAGACTCTTTAAGCAAAACGTTAAAATTAAATAGCAATTGTGCCTCTTGGGAATCTGCTCTCGGCTTTCCATGTTGTGGCTGTTGCTTTTTAGAGAGCTAAGCGCCGTCAGAGATGAGAAGACAAAGGTTTTGAATATTCAGTTATTAATAAATTTGAGAACCTATTTAAAGGGAGATGCCAGTTTAAGTGTGGAAATTGATTCAGCCACCCACTGCTGGAAAATCCATGCCAAGTCCTAAAGGGATGCTATTTGTGTGCTGGTCACGTATCTACTACATCTTTGGACAGAGGAAAGATTCGATTTTAATTTCCCAAATATATCTTCTTCTTTTTCCTCGGCAAGGACTATTCTTGGTTATCTTTTTTTTAAAAAGAGAGAGATAGAGAAAGGGGAAGAGAAGGAAACAGCACCACAAAGTGCCACATCCTTTTGCAGCAAGGTTTCACATCCAGACACATAATATTTGATTGAAAGGAATTTCTCCCCGAAGTAAAAAAAAAAACCTGAAGGATGCTTTTAGACAGTAAGCCAACACACCAGTGTGGCAGACAATGGGGCAGCACTGCAGGGCTCTAACAAGTGAAGTCATTAAAGTCAGTTTGAGCCAACAGCAGTGGGTGTTGCTGGTAATTCAAACTCCACCGATTCTATAAAGGCAAGTGCTGAAATAAGAAGTGCTCCTTTGGCAAAAGGAGAGAGGGGGGGGGGAAACAGCTCCTCCAGACAGGTTTGTTCCTAGTTTACACATTACCTCATTTACATTACACTGGCTGAAATGTACTTTGCTTGTATATGAATTCATTCCTCATATAATTTCCTGTGTGACTGGAATGAAAAGGAACACACACACAAGGGGGGGGGCGGGTGGGAAGGAGGGAGGGAGGGAGGAAAACCACACCACTGTCTAATCTCCTGTTGCCATGACAGCAGCCTTTGAGATACTGAAATGTTCAGATTGCCAGCTAAACAAAATTGTTGAATGTGAACATTTGGCTGAAAGATTAAAAGGCTAAGGAGGTTAGGAAAGGGCAGCACCTCCCACATTCCAGCCATCCACTGAATCCAATCAAATGGCTCTGACTCTTTAACCACAAGCATTGTGAAGACTGGATTAGGGCAATTTATCTAGATAGTTAAGGCAGATTAGAGAACTGCAATTTGAAGGCTATTGGCAACAAAAGCAAGTGCCTACTGTACTGAGTTAATAAAAAAAAACACACAAAAAAACAACAACACTGGAGGCTGAGATTTTAGGGCAGCTTTCAGAGCACAGCAGAAGCATTTCACTAAGCCAGAACACAGACTGCACTTTATACCTTAGGAAGTCAACCAATCTGGGTCTCTCTCTCCCCCCAAACTCCCCACACATCTGCAGTTAGGAAAGAATTACACAGAGACCATTCAGAGCCATGTTTGCAAGGATAGAAGGACACAACCAGAACTCAACACTCTAAATGAGAAAGAGAGAGAGAGAGAGAAGGCTGTGCAGATTACGTTGCAGGCAAATGGGATCTTGTCCAAGCTGTAATTTGCAAAAAAAATAAAATCAAACAGCGAGATCATTTTGAGCATGTCTTAGGGATGCGGGGGGGAATTAACAAGCACAGGATTCTCTAGAGAATTATGCGCCGCACAAGAGTCACAGACCTGGCCCAACACAGCCAGTGCTTCTGAACACCTGTACACAACTTTCCTGCACTCAACGCAGAAAGTTCTCCAGCTCTGAAACTTGAAATGGGAATAATGTCTGAATGATTGTGTGCAATCATGTCGCCAGCTATTACCCAGCAGGGCTCTTTCTGGAGTGGGGAGCGGGGGGGTGGGGGGGCTGGTGGGGAGGGGTTGTCTTTGTTTAAGCAACCTGTAGAATTAATTTGACTCTTAATTATAAGCCAACAATAGCTCCCTAGATGACAAAGGAACCTTCTGTCCTCTGGATGCAGAACAATCCTTGCTTACACCAAACGCTGCCCCAGTGAGCAATAACAATAGCCCAGAGAAACCAGTCCCCTCCACCTCCCTTCACAATGCAAAGCCATTTATCCTTCGCAGAGAACATCCTTCAGACTTCAGTGGGGAGGGAGAAAAACACACACACATTTTTCAACGACTCAACTAACAGGCAGCTCACATGAAGGAACTCCTTGAGAATGCAGATAAGAGAAGGAGACTGCTGGGCAGAGGACAACATGTTTTCCTATATTTGGAAAAGAGGGTTTTGCACACAGAGATCTGGGTACAGAGCGGACCCCATCCCCCACTGCCCTCCTTCCAAACAGGTTATCCGCACACCGCATGACTGCTGACAAAGCACTCCTTATGGCAGTTTCTGAATTATGTAGGGCTTCCTGGCTTTGGTAGGAGCAGCAGTGACTCTCCACCTTATTATTCCACCCCCCAAAAAAACCAAAAATACAATAACACTTTGGGATTATTCTTCACACCCATGGCATTAGAAGATTCCAATATCTGCTCTGCATCCTTTGTTGCTGTTGTGGGGGTAGGAATTCTCGACACCTGGGCAGGAGGGACACCACCACTTCCTCCCCCCCCCCCTTTGAATGTAGGCAATGAAGAACCCACAACAGATAAGCAATTTCAAACAGCAAGATTAACAAACGCCGAAGCAATAACAAATTAAGAACCACAATGCATTGGTGTTTCCCTCCCGGAACAACAACAACAACAAAAATACCCAAACAAACTGCAAACAGGTAAGATTTACTCCAGGGTGCCAAGAGGTGACTGGGGGAAACCGAGAAAGGGAGTTTGAAATGTTATATGCAAACAGAGCAAGAAGCTGAGCAGGAGTTGTGGGAAGTTTCATCAAACAACAAGGAAGGGGGCAGGAAAGCACATGGTCTTACCTTTTCTGTTTTCAGCTTCTTGATTCTCCTGTGGCTTTCCTCCTCCTCCTCTTCTTTCTTTACCAAGAGAGAGTTCCCCATTAACCCTGAATCTGGGGCGCTTTTGCTCACATCCCCCACGGCGGAGGCGGCGCAGTTGAAAGGGCTGTTGCTCCCAACGCCACCTCCCTTGGTCCCAAAGCCATACAAGTGCCCAGGGGGAGGTTGGCTCCCGTTGTTGTTGTGTCCCTGCTGCAGGTCAAGTTGCTTGTCCTTCCTGGTTTTCCCTCCATCCTTATCCCGCTTGGAGCCTCTGCTGCCCTGGGCTTTACCTGCCTTCTCCTCTTTATTATTTTTCCCACAGGAAGCAATAGCGCTGCCGCTGCCGTTGTTGTTGTTGTTGCTGCTGCTGGTGTTGTTATTGCCATTTGAGTTGGCGCTCACACTTTGACCCAGCGCTGAATTCATGCCAGCCGCCTCGCCTGAGCGCCCTTGGGCTTCCTGCCTCTTGCCAGCGCTGCTGATTTCAGGAATCCCATACAAGGCAGAAGAAGGCAGAGATTTACTAGCATCCTTCGAAGTTTTACTCCTTTTCACTTTTGATTTGCTCGTTTCTTTGTGTGAAGAATTCCCCTGCGGGGCGGGGGGCTGGACGGAAGCAAATTTTAGGCCATCAGCTAAGGCGGAGGTAGCGTTCACCCCACTGGAAGCGAGACCCCCACAATCCTTGGAACTCGAGGAATTATTCATCTCAAATTTCTGTCTGTCCTTCTCCAAATCAGCATCCAAATCGATGATTAAATTCCCAACCCCAATTTCCCAGTCATCACCACTGTCATAAGCATCAACCGTGTTTGGATCCACACCTTTGCCAGCAGCGGAAGTGTTCAATGACATCCTGAATACGAGACCTCTGGAGTAAAAATCAGACGAACTTTCCTTTGGAGATGAGGGGACATTCGTTTATCTCCGTGGGCCTTTTTAAAATGTAATTCTTCTCGCCTTCCTTCCCCAGGTATATTTGGGTAGATACCCTGAAGTCCAGGTCCACCTTTTCCTGCGAGGAAGGGGAAAAGTCGAATATTTCTTGGCTGGGTGTTACCAGAATATAATAAAATTAAAAATATAGAGGCAAGGGAGACAGAAAAGACACTCCATATATTAATTTTAAAGAGGTCTGATAAACTGAAGCCTTTGATAATGAGCATCTTCCCTAGAGTTGCATCCCATCATCCAAGATCACTCTTTAAAACGGCATGTACCAAAAACAAAAACCACAGCAAAAAACAAAACAAAACCCTTTTAAGTTGACAGATTTAAATCCACAAAAAAATACCAAGCAGTGAATGTGATTCTGAAACACTTGGGCACAAAGAGAGGGAGAGCAGCTTCCCTCCCAAAATGCATTCCAAAAATTTTGTTATTTTAAACCAGCCCCCTTCAAGTTTTGTGACTTTTCTCTAGATTAGATTATCTTGTTTCTGTGAGGGAGGCGGGGACGGAGGAGGTTACTGACACACACAAAAAGAGCCAATGAAAGTGCATATTCATTTTAGCCTTTTTTTGTTTACCTGAGGGAAGGTGAATGCACCATTTCTGTTTAAAATGCACAGAAGATAACATTTCTAAAAGTGGTCCTAATGTCGTCTTAGGTCACCTACGGCTCCATCTGTTAAATATAGTATTACTGACTGTACAGGAAACTGATTAAGACATACACTTTAAATGATCTACTTCCAAGGCGGCCTCTAACCGCAAATGAGTGTGTGTTTGACACAGCTTAGCTAAAATTATTTTCAAAGGAATCTGCCCCTTTCCAATGGCTGTGTCCTAATATTTACATACATATTACGTACATTGCTTACCTTTAATCCTTTATCATTTTTTTTATTAAAAAAAAAATTAAGCCAGCAAATCAAAATTCTCTCCTCACTGGTCTCAGCAAAAAAGTCAGCTCCCCCATTTCATTTTCCTTAAAAGAGCAAGTGATCACGTAGAAGAAACCAAAGTAACATTTCTGCCAGTGTAATCGTCGAGGAACATATTTCCACTTTGGCAATGAGGGGGGAAACAGAGGTCCTCCCCCCCCCCGCACACACACACACACACACACACAAAACTACCACCACCTTTTCTTTGGAGATTTGGTGTGGGTTTTTTCCTCCTTTAAAATATTTGGTTGCTCACAACTTCACCGGCTTGCAAGGTAGCATTTCACATTCACAACATCAGAAGCCCTCAAGCACCCCCCCAGGAAAAAAGAAAAATCCTTTTCTCCCCTCCCTTGCTGGAGCAAAGCACCAAGATGATGTGATTGTAGCAAAAAACAAAAATTAAAAAAGGTTGCAAAATTGTTTTCCTCCAACTTCACATCCCGTCGTCAGTTCCAGATTCTGCAGCCATCCTGATCAGTAAGTAATGATCCCATGAAAGAAAACCTACAGGCGTCCGGGTCGTTACAAGGCAGAATGTGCTAACATCGGGGAAAATTAGTGAGAGAGAGGGAGGGGGGCAGAGAGAGGACTGAAAATCTGGGCTGGATTCCGCCTGTTAGTCGGGAAGTGGCATTTCCCCCCCCCTCCTCCCGTCCTGACAGATCTGACTTCTTGAACTAACTTGAGGGGGAAAGAGGGAGGGAGAAAGAGAGAGAGAGAGAGAGAGAGAGAGAGAGAGAGAAGGAAGGGGGGAGGGAAAGAGAGGAAAAGGGAGGGAATAAAAAGCAGAGCCTGATAAACCAGTTATCAGAAGATTTGGTGGGAGTGCAGATGGAAAGGGATCCTTTGCAAAAAAAAAGGAAGCAAAATATTCCCACCATTTAAAGTTTAAAGGGGGTGGGGAATCGGATTGCAATTGCTTTTCAGGGTTTGGGTGTTTGCAGGCGTGAGTAAGTCATGTCGTGGGTAATTCAGTAATTAAGAGTCCAGAGATATAAAAATGGGCGACCTTGTTTTCAGGACAGAGGGGTTCCCCCCCCTCTTTCTTTCTCTCTTTCTCTCTCTCTTTCATAATCGTTCCAGCAAACCCTGGTTCATCGTTTTTCATTTATTCCCCTCCTCCTCCTCGCCTTGGCTGGGTATTTTTTAATTAGCTGGCGCTTGGAAAGCTAAAAGCTGTAATGAATTGCGGAGAGATTGGAAAAGCGGAGCGTTGCATGTATGTTCGGGGAGGGGGGAGGGTGGAAAAAAAGAGAGGCAGGCGAGAAAGAAAGAAGGAAGGAAGGAAGGAAGGAACGCAGCAGGCAAGAAGGAGGAGGGCGCGGGAGAAGCGGGGGATGGGCGAGGGAGAAGGAGCCACCAACCACCTAAAAGGAGCGATTTTGTTACAGTTCAAGCTTTTCACATCACGTGAGGATCAAGGGCTCAATTGGTCGTCGTGAGAACAAAAAAAAAAGGGGGGGGGTTGACAGCCGTATCAAGAAAATACTGATCTGGTCTTTAAAAAGGAAAGAAATGCGGTGGGGGGTTTGGAAATAAGGTCGATTTTTCTCTCCCTTTCCCTCGAGGGCTGGCACAGCTTCCAGGTACGAAGCCCAAAAATGCAGGCAAGGACGGGGAGGGTCCTTTGCACGGCGATCTATTTTTATTTCATTGTAATAAAATGCCAGCGCAACGAAACACTTCGCGGATCTCTATCGGGCCGTGGCAGTTTTGGGGGTTGCGTTTTTATTTATTTTTGGTTTTTTTTTACACGGGAGGAGGTGGGAAGAGGAGGCTGTTTCTTTTGACTCGCTCACTGCGCCAAAAGCACACGGGCCGCCCCGGTTTTAAGCATTGCAAACATTTGTTCCAATGTGACAGAAGGACATTTCCTCCCCCCCCCTCCAAAAAAATGAGAGCTTGTTTTGTATTTTAACACAAGATCTCCCCGATCTTTTTTTCTTTGGAGGGGGGAAGGTGTGAATGACAGGTAAGGTCCACAATTATGTCCATTTCTATTCTCCCTATTTGGTCAGTAACACCCACCCCCTCCAAGAAAAAAGGTAATATATTTAACGCGACCCCTCCCTTCCAGTGCACATTAAGGGTGATTTGTGCGAGGCTTTCAGCCCTCTCCTAAATATTCCTCACCGTGATCGTGGATTTTTTATTTCTAAGCCCGAATACACCAGGTTGCACACATTTCTTAACACTCACTCCCCTTTCCTATGGATAGATATAAATATATATCAGTATATGTTTATATATATCCCCTCTAAAGTGCTATCGAGAGACACCACGCAGCCGTACTTACGGTCTGTATTGAATCGAGTTGACCTTTTCCTTCTACAACTGCATTGAGTGTGTTTTGGTTGCAGCCGATTTTTATGTTGGGAGGAAAAAAACATTTAAAAAAAAGAAGAGAGAGGCTAGATTTCTTCAACAAGATTTATGGGTTTTGGTTTTTTGTTGTTGTTGTGTTTTGTTGGAAGAAAACAGCACCAGATGTCATGGACCTTTAAAATAAAAAGATATTTTTTTTTAGAAATTAAAAAAATAAAATAAAAATCCCTGCAAAACACACAGCCTCTCGCCATGCACACATGAGAGAGCGCACTGCACAAACCAGCTCAGCTGCAAACAGCGAGCAGCAGAAATCAGAACTGCAGGGAAAGCAGAGAGTGTGAAGCAAGCATAGACTCTGTACCTGAAAAGGGACTTTTCTTTGTTCCCAATGCCCTTTCCCATCCGTCCAATCAGAGGCCAGCTTTTATGAAACCGGGCTCTCTGATTGGACAGCTGCTCCTCTCGGCTCCCGGAGGGGGGGGTGAGAAATGCACGCGCGCGCTCACACACACACACACACACACACACATAGAAAAAGCCTTGTATTTTGCAACCGCCCGGCTGCGCTGGGGGCTCCAATAGGCAGCCTCCTGCTACAGCAAGATACAAATCATGTTTCCCATTTCAATTACGGCATTAGCCTATACATTTTATTTAAATTAAAGGAGCAGCAAAGCGGGTGAGGAGAAGCGCAAGCCGTGTCTCCTGCAGGGAAGCAAGAGGGAGACTCCTCCACTCATATTTGTGTGTGTGTGTGTGTGTGTTGTTGTTGCTGCTGCTGCTGCTGCTGTTTGCAAAACCACAACTAATGGCTTCCCTATGTGATTTTTTTTTTCCAAGGAGCCATTGAAAATCTCGTCTCGTTTCTCCGAATGGCCCCTCGCTGAATCTTTGCAACAACACGGCGCTGCCTGCGGATCTCCTTTTAATAATAATAATAATAATAAATAATAATACAGATGAGAAAGGCTTTTGAGCGACGCTTGCAAAAAAGGAGAGTAGGGACCCTGTCCCCTTCCCCCACCCGCATAAAGCCCAATCGCCCTTTCTCAGCCTCCCCCTCCCCCCACATTTTATATTCTGCTCATTTTTACAATATGACTTAAGTAGGACAGTTCGATATTTATTGCGCAAAGGAGTTGTAACCCTTTTGTTTCCAGCTTGCTGATTTACTGCCGCGAGCACCGAACTGGAATAGCAAAAAAAAAAAGAAGGGAAAAAATCCACTTAACGACCACGTGAACACATCAGTGAGAATACAATTATTTTCCAGCTTCCCCGCCCCCACCGCCCATCACTCCGCTTAACCTCCTTCCAGCGACTGCAGCTCATCAACAATTGCATTTTGCTTTGGATTGAGAGCCAACCACGGATGCATTGAAACAGCAGCGCCTTCCAATATCAGGAAACTAGAAAGACACAGCCCTTCCCCCATCCTCGTTGTACAGAATGCCTTTTACTGCAGCAGCCTAAAGGACTGCTGGCTTGCTCAGAGCTGGGGGGGAAACCATGCCATAATTAAAATGCCTGATTATTGGGAGATAGTTCTGCGGCCATTCATTAGAAACCATTAAGCATATACATGCGAGTTAATACTAATCATTGTTTCATCAGGCACAGCAGATTCCTTTTGCAGCTGGCTGCAAAGGTTTTGTTTTGGATTTTTCTGAACATCTAACCGGTGGGAACCAAGATTGCATTTCTTAAAAAAAGGAATATTTGAGCAGATAATAAGACAATTTTATCCAAAAGTTAAAGCATGAAATTTGCAATGTACTGCTCAAAATGATAAATGGATTGAGCCCTACTGCTGCATTAAGTGTTTCCATCGGGACATCAGAAGGGCGCTCAGTGTAAAAATTTGTGGATGAGTAAACGTTACATGAGCCTCCTCATTCTGAAAAGAAAACATTTGCCTGACTAAAGATTGCTTTTGACTAAGGCTACTGCCTTGAGTTACTTTGCATGCTCATAAATCCTATTGACTTCAAAAGGCTTATAAGTGTGCAGAACATGGGCATTTAGTATTACTGACCACATTCGCTTATCCAAACCTTGCATTTTCTCCCTTTCCATTCAAAAGCTTAATCAAGCTTAATCTGCCACAAACATATTGTTGCATTTTCCCTTGTGGTTAAAACAATGGCTGGGACACTTCTGCACTATTGTTAGAATCTTGTTAAAAACTAATTTGATTTTCTTTTGTGATCAGTCCTCGCTCATGAATATTTCTCAGTCAACTGTAGGTTTAAAATGTGCTGATTACAACCCATGCCATGTCTGCCAATTAAGGACAGTCCTTTACCAATACAGTGGTACCTCGGGTTATATACGCTTCAGGATACATATGCTTCAGGTTACAGACTCCGCTAACCCAGAAATAGTACCTCGGGTTAAGAACTTTGCTTCAGGATGAGAACAGAAATCATGCTCCGGTGGCGCGGCAGCAGTGGGAGGCTCCATTAGTTAAAGTGGTGCTTCAGGTTAAGAACAGTTTCAGGTTAAGAACAGACCTCCGGAACGAATTAAGTACATAACCAGAGGTACCACTGTACATGCCTTTATTTTAAAGTCATTTTTCTCTGGTCAAGAAACACAGTGACTTAAGATTGGCTTTGCAAATGAGCTTTAGCTTTTATGCACATTTTTATTTAGCTCGGCCTGTTCTGTGCCTGAGGAGTATGAAGCTTTTGGTCCAAGGTAAAGTGCAATTTTGCATATTGTAACCTTATATGAGAGGAGAACCAAATGTGACACTCAGGGCCTAGGGCAGCGGTCAGCAACCTGAGGCCCATGGGCCAGAAGCGGTCCATGGAGGCTGTTTAACTGGCCCACCCCAGAACCGAGCCGCTCGTGCGGCGAGTCCCCACACGCTAGTAAAGTGTGGCACGGGGACTGTCTTCCGTGGCTCTGGAAATCGTTTCTGCACATGCCCAGATGCCAGAAATCATGCCTGAGCATGTCCGCGGTGCTGAAAATTGCTTCAATGCATGCCCAGACGCCAAAAATTGCTTCTGCGCAGGTGCGATTTTTGGCATCTGAGCATATGCAGAAGCGATTTCTGGTGCCGCAGACATGCACAGATGCGATTTCCGGCATTGCTCTGCACCAGTCTGGCCCATGGAGGATCTCTGCGGGAGTAATCCGGCCTGTTATGTATTGAAGTTCTCACCCTGGCCACCAGGAGTATCGTGTATATAGTTTTCACTCAGGTCCACGTCAGTTACTTTAGGATGGGAAACCCTGGGTTGTTGTTCCTACAATGTTGACAGCCAGCTGCCTATAAAAGCAGGCCGGCTGAGCTGTTTGCTGTTCAGTTCTGTTCCAGCTTACGAATAAAGAGCTGCTTTGGAGAAATCGCTCTGTCGTCTGCCATGTCTACCCACTATTTAACATGGCCCATGTCTGGTAAGCCTGGCCTAGGGACTCTCTCCAAGCCACCAACCCGCTGCAGCTCCAGCCTCCTTGAGTATTTTTGCCTGGCTGAAATTTGTGCTTAAACTCCGATGATGCCTTTTGCTTGACTGAATGAAGGAAAGTATGTGTGTGAAGAGAGAACGCATATAGGTCTAATGCCCTACCCTCCGACATTTCTCCGATGAAAATAGGGACGTTCTTTTCTACATCAAGAAGCTTCTCCTGCCTTTGATCTTGCTGCAAACATAGATGTCATGGGCACATCTACATCAGTCACCTTGAACCCACTGCAACCTCTTCACTGAACCTACCTCAAAGGATTGTTGTAAATAAAAAATGTGTGCAGGAAGGGATCGTGTGCAACATCTTCCACAGATAAATGGAAAGAAATAAAAATAAAAATTTAGTGGTAAGTTGCCTTAAGTCCCTGTCAAGGGAAAAGGTGGGATATAATAATAATAATAATAATAATAATAATAATAATAATAATAATAATAATAATAATAATAATTAAAAAAAAACTGTGAGAATGTTCAGGAACA